GACTGGAGAAGTGTTCATTTGTGTGTGTTTTTTTTTTGCGTGTTGTTTGTTATTTTAAGACCAACATTTATAGAATTTGTGCGATGTAATGTATATGTGTTTATTTGTGGGTGGATTTGTGTCAGTGCACTGCCAGATTTCAGCTTTGGATTTTGTATGCTCAGGTGTGACGACATCTTGGCCAAGGAAGAATCATTTGCTGATGAGTTGTGTTTTAAGATGTTTCAATTTGTGTTTTAATTTGTTATTTTTTGAATATTGTTGATCGTATTTATACAGAGGATAGCCAGTGTGAACATGTCAACAGGGCCAACCAGCAAGTCTTCTTTAGTCACAGGCCACAGCCAACTTGACACCTTATGAAAATAGGGCTGATTCCAGAGTTTCTCGCGGTGAATAAACCCTGTTGGTTATGTGATGTGTTGTTTCAAGAAAAGACCTCTATACAATGCATGGGATGACTTTGAACTGTTTGGCGAAACATGTGCCTTGGGCTATCCACCATCATCCTGTGCTTGGCAGGTAATGGACTCCTTCAACTATCACTATACTAGATTCTAGATTAACGTAAAATAACTATAACTATAATACTAGATTCTAGATTTGACATCTGATTTGAGTGCATATGAATCACAGCTCCATGTTTGACACCTGTTGCATCGTTTTGCTTTACAGGATATCTTGGTCGTTTGGTCGTTTGACCATCAAGTCTGGGACCCTTTGGCCATCTCTGGCTTCCTATCCGAGAATTCTGTCCACTTTCCAGAAGTTCAGCATGGCTCCGAGAGCTGGAGAAGCTCCGAGAGCTGGACGTGTTTCGAGGTTTCTGTTGGAGGCGGCGATGTTTCGGCTCCCCTACGTTCGGTTCCTCGAAGACCTCGTGCGGTTTTTTGTGGTTTTGATCCTGGGTATCTGGGTATCTGATGGTATCTGGGTATCGTCCACCTACAAATATATCCAAAAACACTATCCTATAGACTCTCCCTGTACCAACCAATGCTCAGCCCACCTAGAAAGAGCTACCACTGCGGGCCATGCGCAGAGGGAAGAAAGCGGAGCCATGCTGTCTAATTACGCGTAGAGGGGAATGGCATGCCAGTCGTGGGGAAGCCTACCACCTTTATGACAGCCCTGCCATATGAGACTGGGGGAGATCTGGAGGTGTCACCATGTAATCCCATGTCCTTCATGGTGTTTTTTTTCTTGCAAGTCACCAAGTAGAAGAGTGACCTTGAATGCTTCTGTTCCACAAGGAGATAATCACCCTCTGTCTAAGTCTGGCAGCGTTCTGCCTTCATGTTTATTAATCTTTACGTGCGATGCAGGCCCAGGATCCGATGTGTCTTGGCCACTCCTTAGCATCAGCCGGCAGCTCAATCCCTGTCAAGCCTACATATTTTTATGACCAGTCTGGGTGTGGCTCGAAGATCTTCAATGAAAAAAAGGCACAATGGGATCCATTCAATGGGAGAGGCTCCAGGTCATGACCATGTTTGTCCTTCTCGGACACTTCATCAGGTGAACAGCTTTCAGCAACATTGACTCAGAAGTGTATCATATTCTGCCACACCTGGCTCTTCTCATGGACGGTACTTTCAAAGCTACATGATGGCGCATGCATTTGATCGTAAGATTTCAAGCAGGCATGGGCCAAACAGTAAGACAAGCTGTTTATATATGCTCAGCAAGACAAGTGCTTTATATGTTCAGTCATCCATCCAATGGATTTCGTCTATCGCACAGCGGCCCAAGATCTGTTGCGCCCGCAGCACTTTTTTTTCAGGTGGATTTGCTCAATAGCTTGTCCCTACTGAAGTTGTGTCATCACAAAAGGCTTCCACTTATTGTTTGCGGCTCTCATCGGGGATTTTTTCAGTACAGACTATTATGGAATGTTGTTGATGTCCAGGGTTTGACCAGTCATTGCACTTCTTCGTTTGGGCAGCACATTGCAGAATGAGTGATGGCAAATCTCAAGCAGTTTGACCACCCGAGATGGGGAAAAAAAGCATGGACCATGCACCCATGACCACCCCAGGTCTTGGATTTCTTCCGTCCAGATCCGGTCTGGAAAACGTGCGTTGATGAAGGACAAAAAACAGGTGGACCTCGTGCATTCGGGGGTCCAACATGCGGGGGCCTTCGCGTGTTATGCACGGTGTCGCGTGCGGATTGCGCGCTGCGCGGTTTCCGTGCGTCAAGAGCCTGGTGTCGAGTAGGTCGGCTGGGTCTGGCTTCATTGGACACATCATCGGGGTCGACCTGCGGGGTGAACACCACCTTGGTAGTTTGACAGAACCCCCCCGGGATCCATGGAGATCCAGCGGTTCTTTCTCTGGAAAACTGCCAATCCGAGGTTGGAAATTCAGGTCAAGAACCACCTCACAGCGTCCCCAATGATTTTAGCCAACTTGTCTTCTTTTTCCACGGGCCACACATGACTATGATGTTTGTTTGGCAGTCTTTGGAGGGGGGACCACCTACCTTGGCCTACGGGTCTTTCAGATGCGGAAGGGAGTGTATTCTCTGGAAATAACCATGAAAGTGGATGGCACCAGCTGTTTGGTCTTCGGAACATGGGCATCCGATTCTAAACCCGCGTAGTTTGCCATCCACGTGATGATTTCAACGAGTGTGGCCAGGTAGCAACAGAAGGTTTCCAACCTGGCTAGGTCAAGAGGCTTTCCCAAATCACCATGAAGAAAAGAAACAACAAGAAGACCTCGTTGTTTATTTGTGTCGCATTACCAGTCTCCTTGGAAAGAGGTCTTGACTGACCAGTTGCTCCTTCCGGGCTCCGCTTCGCCAGGTCACGTCGCCCCCGTGGCTCTCCCGCCGCAACGCGCGTCCGGTCAACAACGCCACGTCAGGGCGAACGAGCGGCGCGGAAGCGGCACGGTGAATCGGAGCGACAGGTCGCCTGGAAGTGGGCCGCCTGGTGCGCTAGGATGTGCAAGGATGTGACTGTGCAAGGAGATTGGCCAGTGCCACACACTGGCAACATGTGGGTTCCCATCATTCTGGACTGTTGATCCGAGACACGCAGACATGCTGGCACAGAGGGGCGACTGCAACACTGCATGTATGACATATGTATGGCATATTTACCTACATTGACCCTGAAACCACCCCAATGTAGATGGCCCGCCAACAACAGCCCATGGTGTTTTGATGTGTTTTGTGCGTGTTTCGGACATGTTTCTGGATATATCAGGTTGGGTTTCGTAACATGTTCATCAGTTCACAACATTGTCATGGATGTACGGATGGATGCTAGTCATCGATTGGTCGCGTGTTTGGGATGGGGCTGTCGGCCAATAGCTTCTAGAAATCATAAGTATGTGCTGTAGCACCGGCAACCCCAAATGAGTTCTCAACTTTCAATACGTTGCTGAATGCACACGGAGCCTGAAAGAATTAAAAAAGTATGAGAAGGAGCAGTGTTCGCAGCTGTCCTTTTCACACCTGATGCAAACCACCATTTCTGAAATGCATCCCCCCAAGGGAGTTACTTGATGACATACTCTCCGGGTTTTTTACGTGTCCCCGTAAACGCTGACCTCTATTTTTGTTTAAGCAGAAGTTGATCTGCAAGATGATCCGACGCATCGGCAGGACATGTTAGCGATTCCAAAGCTGTTTCAGGAAAAATGAGTTTTCTTTGGAGAGGTGAGCGGCCTCAAGGATGCTGAGCTTGCCCTTTGATTCGGGCAATCTAAAATCTGGGTGGCAAAAAACCTTGGCCTGGGATGCTGAGCTTTGGCAAATGAACAGCCTTTCCACTTAGCTCTCCCAGAGAAAAAAAACTAAATAAAACAACACTGCCACTCGTTGTGCTTTCAGAAATCACAGCACATGCACCAAGCATAACGACCAGAGGGGAAGGACTAGACCAGAACTGTTTGCCAATGCTTTGGCGTTTTGGTGGACATGTTTGAGTGGACAATGCTAACATGTCCGTTCATGAATTTCAGCAAGCTTGAGTCTTTTTTCAAAAACCATGCTAACATAGCCCGTGGCGAAAGTCAACATGCAGTTTGTCATGGGACAGGTTAGCAGGTTGTTCAATGTGTTTTGGTCACTGTAAACATAATTGTATGAAGCCTTTTTTTCCCGGTCATTCCCGGGCGAATGCCGCACCATGGCTGAACATGTTAGCCACTAAAAGGCATCCCAAATGCTATCTGGAAGAGTGTAGCACTGACAGATTGAAAAATGATCGTTGCCCGCGACATTAGACATGACTTTTGAAATGTGAATTCTACTGGAAAGTGCACATGACAAATTAACAAATCTTCCCCAGTGGAATTACGTCGTGATGGAAGGTTGCAAATATTGAGTGAGTCTGGGCCAATGATAATGAAAGTACGTACATACAAACACAAACAAACAACTTTGCAGATGAGGAATATCATGTCGTATCACGTCACGGATAGGTCACGTCGCGGTGCACCTAGCTAGAATAGAACCATGCATAGCTGGAATGTCGGTGTCAAGCGTGGCTCATTTAGCATGGCCTACGAAAGCAGCAAAGACAAACCTAAACCCCTTGGCCTCTAAGCGAATGTGGACCTGCGCCATGGCCGTGATCGTGACTGGCTCAAGAGAACACAGGTTTCACCCAAGTAGATCAAGACCAAACCAATTGAAAGCAACGCAACTAAGCCTATATGAAATGATTTCGCTAGGGATTAGTGGTAACTTGGTGGTTCAATGTCTTGGTGTTTCAAGCACTTCCATGACTAAACCTCCCAGAAAGGAACCCCAGCCTGCCCACAATCCGATTGTTTCGCGCCAATTTGTTTGAATTGTGACCATCGAATTGCGGCGTTGACCAACAGTTGCGAGTCCCAGAGCAAAGACTCCTGTTGAAACCTGTGACGGAACTTCTCAAGACTCAATGAACACTTCCCACAAAAAGATTGATTCAACATAGGAGAGTGAAGGCCTCAGAGTGAGAGAGTAGGAATCTTTGAGCCAATCCGATCCACAAATGGACCATGGTTTGGCGCTTTGAGGCAGGGCATTTGTTCGCCAGAAGTTAGCAGAGAATGTGCAAGTACCCAACACAACTAGCAGAGGCAATTGCTCTTCCATGTCCATGCTTCCGTGAAAACGCGGTCTTGTTTGTTTGCATCGTTTGATTTCAGTTCTTTTTGAAGTTATTTGAGGTGTTGCTCTCTTCAGTATTTAATTAATTTGTTTGCCGAAACGTCCAGACATGCTGTTACCAAAGTAACCCAAGCATGCCAAGCCATGTGACACCACCCATGCAGGCAACGATGTTCTTGGTGTTTAGTGTTTTTTCATTTGAACCCCACTATGTTGCATTGGCCTCCAAGCCGGATGAAGTTGAATTGAGCTTGATCAGGATTCAGGAGATCTGGAGGAGGACCGGAAGTCGGTTTCGCATGTCTCGTCCCAGAACGGATCATCGTCTCGTCTCAATGAACGGATCGCTAGCGATGCGATCAGCCGTTTTGAGCAACTTGATGTCATTGAAGGGTGTAATTGTCCGTGAATTTGGTCATCCCCCGGGCCTTTTTGTTGTCAGCTGGGATCCCTTCGAGCTCGAACACGATACAGTTTGTGAGAACGGAGAAAGGCACTGGTTGGATTGAAGGATCACCGAGGATCACATGCCTTCCCTCCACAGGGCATGAGCAAAGGACCGATTCTTACCACGCACACGAAGCACACACCCCTTCCCAGCCCATCAGCGATGTCAGAATCAGAGAATATAGAGGGAAAGCTATTGTGTTTGTTGAGTTCCATGAACAGATGTTCCAAATGCTTGAACCTTACCGGACGTTACATCATCTTACGTCATGCTACTTTGGCAAGGTTATGCACTGCGTCGAATATCTAGATCGTCAAACTGTGCAAAATGTATGCCTTTTTCATTTGCAAAACCAGCCAAAAGGCAGAATGTTTGATAAATTAGGCTCCAGCAGAATGCTTCGAGATGTTTGAAAAGTTCCGTGTTCCAATCGAGTTGAGTCCACATATTATGTGTAATGTAATTATACCAAACCCTGGATTCCCAGGTCAGGTGTTTGATCCTGGTAGCCTTCTTGTGGACGAGACCAGTGGGTAGGAGGTCGAGTTGGGGACTTGGTTTGGGACATGTATGTAAGAGTATCCCACAAACAAGGAGGCCATCGCTATCAGAAACAAAGAGAAAAGAACAGGAAGAAAGGTCTAATGATATCTCAGCTCTCAGTTGATTCACGTGACTTCGACCAAACATGATCAGAAGCCATGAGTGGCAAGCTCCTGGGTTTTACCTTCTGCAGGTATTTGACATGTCGCGTTTTCACCATTGTTTCTGACATGCATACAAGAAGCTAGTAGAAACAAGTGCCACGCTAGTAGTAACAGGTGCCTTACTAGTAGTAACAAGAAGCTACTAGGAGCATTCTTACTACTAGTAACAAGAAGCTATGACATGCATCGATTGCAGGATGAGCCGCCACCCGATTTGACCTCGCCCTCCGCAGCCAGCCGTCCCAGTGTCCTGGCCAAATGGGCGATGCGGCGAAGGGGGGGTTCTGTTCTGGGGATGCACGCAGAGAGGCATCAACAATCATGCGAAGAGGTTGTGACATAAGATATGATAAGACCTTTTGGAGGGTGAAGTGTGTCAAGTACACATCAAATTGAATGGATTGGGGGCCATGTGGGGGAATATGAACATCCAATGTCTTGTGGGTGGGGGAGAGGGTGTAAGAAGTTGTTTTTGTTGATCCCAGTGGTTTTGGCCGATCTGAGTAGGTGAGTAGGGCCGTTCTCGTTCCGCGGGAAGAAAGCTCAGGCAGACAGGACGAGGACTCGGATGCCTATAGTGTCTTGGAGACGGGAATTGGAGACCGCTTCGTTCGGATGGAGGTGAACCGAGAACCCATGGCCATCATAGGTTGGAGGCCATCGCTACTAGGGGAGGCCATCCCCATTAGGTTGGAGGCCATGGCCGAGAACCCATGGTTCTGGACGACTGGTGACTGATGAACGACACATGGAGGTGACATCAGGTGACTATTAATTATAGAATTTGTTTGTCCGACACGGTCAAGACGTCCAGTCACCGGGTCATGAAAAGCCCGGTGAAAGTAGAAGTATAAACATGGATTGTATGGTTTGGACTGTTTGATGCGTCAGGATTATTTGTCCGGTTCTTTAGCCGCTTTGGGCCACCGGTGGCCACCTCATGTTTCTTTGCAAACACCGTCGCGACAGGTGTCGAAGAACATTTGAGCATTTGACTTTAGCCACACAGGATGCGCGTTACCTTGGATGCGATGTTACCCCGATCTTCAGGTGATGACTTCGCCTATGACGATTGGGAGACGGAGGAGATGTCAAAGCCGCCCATGTGGATACAAGTGGAGCTATTGTTTTTGATGTTTTAAAACATATTTTTTGACTGATCCAATTCCTTGTGTGTATGTGCAAGTTACTTTGCATATATTGCACTTAGCTCGATAGGTTTGCTGTGGTCCAAGCTATAGTCAATCATCGAATAGCTGTAACTTCAAAAAACACATCTTAAAATATCAGCAAATGTATCAAGGGAATCCAATTATGGGATCAATGCATGGGATGCACGGGTTTTGCTATCTCAAGTGTGGCCAGCAGTCAGACCCAAATGTGGTAGTAGACAGACCGACCTGTGTTTTTGTCAACATGCACGTGGGACCCTCAAAACGCTCAGTGAAAGAACCGTGAAAGAACGTGAAAGATGTCGACCAGTTACATTGCGACTCTGAGAATTCTCCAGGTCATCCACCAAAGTGGATCACCTACAGGACCTACAGCAGTCACCTCTTTGGGGAACACTCGAGCTCCACCTGACAGGTTTGGACAGGTGGACCGTTCGCTTCTACAAATGTTTTCCACATGGGAAGACTGAGGGGATCAGATATCGAAGCTCTTTGTCCATGAGCTATTGGGACTCAATGGGAACCATGCTGAATCTTCATTCGCCATTGACCAGCCTGTAAGTCTCCAACCTAATAGCGACGGCCTCCAGCCTAAAGCGTGCGCCTTGCGATCCGAGCTGCTGACGAGGATCAGGAGACCGAGACCAGTCAAGAAGAGAACGCGCCTCGCACGGAATCCCAAGATGGACTCATGACAATCTTTGGATCTCCAAGAAGCATCGAAGGTGGAAGTGGAAAACCATTGGAATTGTCCACCCTTTTCTTGACTCTGGAAATTGATCGATGAAGGCCATCCCCTTAGCGCCAGGCCATTTTCACTTTCGAAGCGAGTCGCTTCGGCGACTCTGAGGTGGACAGCTGCACTCGAATGCACTTCGACTCTATATGTGATGATATCTCCACCGAAAAAGCTTTATAGATCCACCGAAGGACAGGAGTACGGCCGGCAACGTCCTTGTCCTCCCTGTTCACCAGTTTTTCTGTGAGGTTTGGGACTTTTGGAGTTCTTTCCCCTAGGCTGAATCATTTGGTGAAGTTAGTCTTGAATACTGGCCTTTTTTCAACGGTCAGCCACAGACAGATGGAAGCTTTGGGTCCTGGAAGGACTCCAAAAACTGGAACACGGGTTTAAATCGTTTTAAATGGGGTGAGCATTGCAGAGAATAGTTGAATCAAACTTAACGGGGATGCCTAAATTCCTAAATTGTAATGTATCCTTCCTAAATCCGACCCTAACCAGGATGGGGTCGCCCTACAAAGTGTTGACATGCGCACGTGTCATGTTTTGATGGGACACTCAACTCTGAGGTTCATCCGGGTTCTTAAAAAATATAAATGCTGTCCCTTTTCCAACACTGCGGGTTTGATGGGTCCTTCCCACGTTGGTCGGGCCCACCGAAGCCCCGACCACATCCCCACACCGAACCGCGACCGACCGACCGGTCGACGACGGTCGTCACCAGTCGGCAGGTCACGAAGACGACGGAGACCGGGCGGGCGAGTCCGAGCGTGGGAGACCTGAGCGGGTCACCTGAGCCGGGAAAGACACAGGGGGGTCACATTTGGGAAGTTCGAGCCATATTGTCTCAAAGAGACGTTTTTATCCCTTTTTTGCGGCATTGTGGCTAGAGTCAGGTTGACGTACCAGCAGTTTGTGTTGGTTGTGACAAAGCTTTGTAGACCTGGTGCCGCCTTTGGTTCTTTGGTTTTGTGTCGAGGCCCTGCAGATCCACATGATGCAGAGGACGCAGATGAGGATGATGCATATAGTACGCCACTGAGAGTTCAGAGGAGTGGCAGTACAACTTCAGGGCCTGAGAAAAAGGAGTGTCGAAAATTCCTATGGAGCCCAGACATGACCCATGTTTTGATACGAAGGGACCATATTTGGGGTTGTCAGTTGGTGGTCCAAAGTAGAGGTCATTATATAGGTCATTCATGTTCTAGGTTGACAAGGTTTTGGGGTCTTTGCGACTGAAGACAGGTTTCCCTACAATCACTAGTTTGATCATCTGAGGTTCTGACATGGGCAACCACACCTGTTGTCGGTAGCTGATGTTCTCCAGGTGATGACTTTGACGCCAATGACCAGGAGACAGAGGACGTGTCGTTTTGAGGAAACCTTTCAACATGTTTTTGTTTTGCAGATCTGTTTGATTCCGGGCAGCACGAGGACCCCGGTCCCGAGATAGATCACGAAGAGACTCGCAGAAAGCTTAGATTCTCTTCAAAAGTCACTTGGCATGTCCCGTGACTCAGCTTGCTATGTAAGGTCACGAAGACTCTGCCGTGACTGACGAGGAGTCTCGAATGAATGAGGAGAGTCCAAGAGGACCTTCAGTTGGTTGGAACCTCAGAGATACAATGATGCCACTTCACGAGCAGTTGAGCAATAGGTAGATGGAGTTTATTTGCTCCCATGGTGAGAGTTTGTGTGAGGACTTGTGAGGACTCTGAGTGCAACATACTTTATGTTAGGTCTTGGAAATAGGGTACCATAGTGTACCATCTAACCCAAGGGTTACAAGGAACATGAGACTCAAAAGCATCCCAAACCCATGAAGGAGCAAGTCGAATCTGTTTGGAGACTCATCCACTCGTGAGTTGATGGCAAAAACCATTTGGGTGTGTATGAAAATAGGGAGACCTCCGGATGCCCCACGTCCAAGGCCCAGCGCAGGATGCGGAAGTCCGAGCAGATGAAGAGGATCTGGACGAAACATACAGCGCGCTGCTCAGACAGAGACTGACGTAGGACAGCATGAACTTGGACTCATAGGGGGCACTGATGATCAAGAGATATCAAGCTGTTCACTTAAAACAGACTAAAACAGCTTGCTGCCGATAATGTAATATATATATACTTAATACTAGTCATTGTGTGAAGAAACTGTGGTTTCAACCACTGACATCCCTGATCCCTCAGACATGAAGGTCACAGTAGCACGCTCCGCCCAGCGCTCAGGCGACCTGTTCGAGGCCGATCCAGACACGGAGGACCGGAGGAAATGGAGCTGTGCAGATTTCCTCGAATCAAGGTACCTGGGATACTCAGTTTGAGCGAGTGGTCAGGACTAGTCTGGATTTGGATGAAGCACCTTGCAGGACCCTGGAGCTGAGACAGATCATGACCCTGAAGCTGAGACAGATCATGATCCTGAAGCTGAGACAGATCATGACCCTGGAGCTGAGACAGATCATGACCCTGAAGCTGAGACAGATCATGATCAAGCTGAGACAGATCATGACCCTGAAGCTGAGACAGATCATGACCCTGAAGCTGAGACAGATCATGACCCTGGAGCTGGAACGGATCATGACTCTCGTACGAAGCTCAAGATTCTGAAGCAGGTTGGAAGTTTGCTTGTCAGGCAGTGTTTTCCCAACACAAATTTTGGTGCATATATTATATGCCCAGTTATATAATAATTAGTCATTAGTCATTAGTTCAATTCAGTCAAACTGTGGTGAACGTGTTCACAAGTACCGAAAAGACCCTCAGCCGGGAGAAACATGCTATGGCAAGGTCACGACGACACAGTCCCTGCCGATGACGGGAGATCAAATGAGGAGAGTCCGGCTTCTGGTTGAGGCACTTGTTACTAGTAGCGATGCACCTGTTACTAGTAGCTTCTTGTTACTACTAGTAAGGCACTTGTTACTAGTGAAGAAAACTTAGACGTCTGGTGACTTTCCCAACTTGTCAACCGGCATGATGTTTCAGTTGGATTGTGAGTCATACTGTCATAATGGATCCCGATTCCCTCGTTTAACAGTGAAACAGTGAAACTACACCATGGTCCCAAGCTTGAAGTTAACTGAGTCAAAAATAAGTCATAAACCATGCGGAAGCGAGCTTCAAAGAGCTGCAATGAATCGATCTTGTGCAAAGAGCGGGCTTCAAGGAGCTGCGTGTTGACGACGCTGTTCCTGCACAAGATGCCGCACATGAAGATCCGAAGGACGATGACCAAGGACCCAAGAGTGAGCCACTTAGCATTTTTGCAACAGAGCATGGTCAAAACATGAAAACAATGTCAATCTGTTTGCAGATATTACATGTGATCGCCCTAAAAAATGGCCTAAAAGACACCATGCCCCCAATGTTGGGTAGCTCTACTGAAAGCCTGCAGTATTCTCTTTCAGGTAGCAACGGATGTCCACGACCCTTGATGTAGCTTTGTAGCTTTGCTCTTTTTTCACTTTGAAATCCCTCCAGGCGACCACGTCGAAGCCCAAGCGACTTCAGAGGACTTCACGTCGGATTGCCTTGTTTTTTTTTGTTTTTTGACTGGTACCACCCTTCCCCACCAGAAAGACAAGAAGAGGTTCAATGAGAACTCCTGGACGTGTCCGGTTGGCTGTTCGTTTGCTCCAGGACAGACCGAGCTCGGCAGATCCAGGTGCAGAGCTCAACTTCTGGTTGCTCCCATACCCACACTTGTAATGTTTGGAAGATTTCACCTACATTGACCCTTAAAACATCTTAAAACCACCCCAATGTAGGTAAATATTCCACACATCACATGTCAGGAACATATCATCACAGGTTACATATATCTACACCCAATGGTTCAAAAGGCTCTTAAAATAGAGGCCGTCACCCAAGGACCCTCAGATCTGAGGTCGTTGCGAAATGACCTCAAGATAGGGTATACACAGCAATGCAAACCCACCATGCCTTTTCTTTTTCTGCACTATCACTTCGAACGTAGTGCACTGGTATGACGCATACGGGCCATGGCACCCTTGTGAGTAGCCGACAGACCCATCCTGAGACGGCTGGCCTTCATTAAAAACAGTTCCAGGTTCTTTGCTGGGTATCGTTTGCAGAGAAGTTTGCTCCATTTCATGGAGTCCTCATCAACGAAACAATGAGTGTGCCTGCTGTTGACCCGGGTATGCAATGTCACTTGAAATTGGTGATCGAGTTGGTGGATTTTGGGCCTTAAAGTCCATAACATTGGAGTAGTGCGTTGCCCTCTCTCCAGCAATGTCTTTTGCTGCCTCATACAGGGTCTCTAAGATGCTAAACAATATTGAAAACCTGAACAGACTTGATTTGTTGAATTTGAACCCTGGCCTAAAGTGAATGTAGGACAACCTGATGTGAGCTTGCAGAAAAGATTGGCCGGCTTGGAAAATGTTGCAAGCTGCTTCCCTGGTCCTGGAACATAGTTTCTCTGCCCGAACGAACATCAGACGAAAAAGCTAGCTAGCAAATCATAGAAAACAAACAATGCCCCTTCGTGACCAAGGTTCAGGTAACGACCGTTGCTTTCGCAGAGTGCAAACCATCGTGCACATGCGTTCCTCACTGCAGTTGCTTTGGGCCAGAAACCTAGGACCTAGTACTGGCTCAGAGTATTTAAATTGGAAATCAGAGCAGAAACCAGTTGTTGTTGCAGAACAGGGGCATGCATGCTGCTTGCAACTCAATCTTTGCATCTGCAGGAAAGCCTTGCACACCAGTGCGCATTTGCTCTTTCAGCCAAACCCCAAAGGTGCGACCAGGAGGAACGTCCAAGTTCTTCTCTGCCACTTGAGTGGATACTTCAGCCATGTAGGCACAGAACACACGACCAGTATGTGCTTTATGCGTGAAACAAACGTTGCCGTTCTGTTTGAGGACCTGAGTCTCACCCACGGACGGTGCTACTTTGCATGCTTTTTGTTTTAAAAAGAAACATGGTAATCACCGAACACAAAAATAGGCCCACCAACAGTGCCAAGTATCCATCCCAACGGTGATGCATTTCTGGCTGCACTTAACCTTCTTCATCTTGCACCATTTTTTGAAATCGGAAAACAACCGTTTCAGGTTCAACTCTAGTGGCTCCTTCGGGTCACCGTACATCCCAAGCCAAATAAGGGTCATCCTTGGCATGTCTAAGACAGGCAACAAAACAAACACGAACCTGTGTTCCCTCCTAGTCTAGTGCCCAGAAATTTGAACTAACCAAGTTTGGGTTTCCCAAACAAAAAACTATTTGGGTAAATTTGTGCAAGCGTCATAGAGCTGCCATTTGCTGTCTGCAACACCCCAAGGTTGCAATTATGCATGGAACATGGCCGAAGTGTGTCCACTGCTATTCCCGGTAGTGCAAGCAAAGGACCTAACTTGCAAAGATCAGGGAGGAAGTTTGCTTTTTCTCTTGGGGTTGGTTATTCAAAAATAACAAGAACTGACTAAATTTGTTCGGCAAGATGCAAATCTGTTCAGGTAAAACGTTGTCGGCCCAATCCCAAATGTTCTGAAATGTAGTGCTTGCCCAAGCTGCTTGCTCCCCAATCTCTGTGTAAAGGTTAGCTTGGGGTGGCTTCAACTGTGCTTGACAATAAAAGCAAACATCTGCACTCTGCCATCCTCTCTGAGGAAATCTCCAGAGAAACTTGTGCCACACAAGGTCTCCACGAATTTCAGTAACTAAGAATTTTTTTCCATCTGTGCACAGCTGTGTCCCGTCAGGATTTTGCCCTAAAAAGGCATAGTGGAAACTCCGCACCAAATTCCACAAAAGCGGATAGACCGTATGCGTGCCAAACACCAGTTCAGATCTTATCGCAAAGATCAGAAATCGAGACCTTCGGACCGATGCCGGCCTAAATAATGGAAAATTGATGAATATGCTCATGATCTTCTTCTGGGGTGGTCCTTCGTCATACTTTGCTTCGTCTCCGAAAATCCCGACTGGTATAGTCGAAGCATCACCTAGCCGTGCATATTGGCATCCAAAGCGCTTTGACCATTCCCAATAGTGCTCAATGTGGGATTGGGGCGTCGTTGCTTCAGCCACTTCATACATGTATTGAAGCACTCGATGTGGTTCCAAATACGGGATCTTCATACTAGTGATCTTTGTGTCATCATCGGGGTCGACAACAGGAAGATCTATAAAAGATGGCTCCTAGAAAATTGACAAGTCAATTTTGATAACTGTTGCCTTGCCCCTATTGTAAGAAAAACACATCAAATATTGCACACAAACAGTTCTTGCACTTCAATTTCAAGCTTCCAGAGGCAACTTCTGGTTCTTCCAGAAGGTCCGAACTTTGTTGGATTTGCTTTTCCCTATCTTCACGACTGTCTCAGAAGCACCGGGCTCCTGCGCAACACACTGACATGTAAGACAGGCTTCATGCATTCAGCATTCATGCTATAAAATGTGTCCTCTAGTGTGTGCTCTTGAAAGTCATCGTGTACTTGTGATATTGTTCATGCCAGTGCATACACTGAAGATCTCCTTTGCTCTGGCTGCAGCTGATCGTGCAACTGAGCTGATGCTGTGGCCCTGAGGGACTAGTGACGGCTGTAATTTAAGAGCCTTTTGAACCACTGGGTGAAGAGCCTTTTGAACCACTGGGTGAACTAACCATGCATGGCGCCGTGCCTGCTCAGCAACTCTTTGACCAAGGTCGGCGTCAGGGTTCTCAACGCCGCTGTCGGTGTCAGATTCTGCGAGGGTCCAGGATTACATGACACGTAGCAAGCCCATCTTGTGTAGCATAATAGAAATGCTCCTCATCGTGTATGATATGCACATTCTCACAAAGCACGTTCCAACAAGAAAAGTGCACGTTTCTTCCCCGCTTGTTTTCGACACTGCCTCCAGCCATGAGATTTGTTGGCTGGCTGACAGTGGTCTCCCAGCTGCAAGATTTAGTCACGGACACTGGCGCTACCATGCCAACCCCCCATCAAATCAGAATTGTGATTTACATTATGCATAAAACACACATGCATGCCTCATGTGTGGGAGGAAGGCACCTAAGGGAGCACCGGCTTTTCTCGACGTGATCCCAAAAACTCAAGAGCAACATCGGCTTTGAGTGAACATTGATTGATCAAGCTTTCTTTGGGCAAGCTTGCATGTCAAAGTCACGGACGCCGGCCCTACCATGCCTGCCTACCCCCGAGCAATTCAATTTGGTGTTTGATTCAAGATCATCGATGCAGGGCTAGTTTGTTACACATTTGTGCGGCAGGAAGGCACTTAAGCAGGAAGCTCCCATGGTCCCAAAAGCTAAAATAAGACCCGAACGTTCCTACGACATCGAGCAATCAAGCTTTCTTTTTGGCAAGCTTGGATGTCGAATCATAAGATTTGCAAAGATCCTCCAGTTTATCCTTGTAGGTCTTCACGTCGTCCACCTGGCCGGATGCATGAGGGCAAGGGGATTTCAGCTAGAGTCAGCTAGATCTCTTTACTCTCAAAGTGGCCCGGGTGATGGAAAACCAAGCTTAGTTACATGATCTTGCTGAATTGATCAAACTGAATCGGGTGGTGTTCAGTCTCTATCAAACGCGTTGTATGACATGCCTTGTCAGCATCCAAGGCTTTCTGCAAGATCTCGCGGGTGTCCTGGATGGATTTCACAGCTGCCTGCAAGAGGTGCGATAGTTGTCGGCATTTGTATTTTGAATCTTTGTTTGGCCTTGATGTCTTTGGTCATTGCATCACGAACTGTTGCGGTCCTGAAAAAAGTGAACGTATTCAGACGAGATACATGCATGCATAGTGTTAGTGGGCAAAGATTGATTGAACCAAAATCGCTCAATCTGGTATATTCCTACTGCGATGAGCCCTGGGCAGATGTTGGATATTTGCCAGGCAAGTCTGGGAATCCTTCACCTTTCGGCTCGCTGCATCAATGGCCTGATGAGGGCAAGAAGGCGTGGGAATGTGGGGCCCAAGGACTTGATGAACCTTTCTGAAAGACTTGATGCACATGTAATAAAGGACCTGACAGTGAACACCCTGTAAGAAGAGCCATGCCTTTTTCGCATCTTTGCAAAGGTTCTTTTTTGCTTCCTTTGCCTGAGCTGCTTTCTCCTCCTCCTCCGCCTTCTTCGCGTCCTTCTCATTTCTTCCGGACTTCTTCTCCTTATCCTTCTTATTTGCTTTGCCCCTCTTGGGCTGCTTCTCCTTTTTCTTTCCTTTCTTGCTTTTCTTGTCAGTCTTCTTTTGATCCTTCTTTGACTTGGCTGCCTCTTTCTTCTCCTTCTTGCCCTCCTTCTTGCCCTCGTTCTTTACCTCGTCGCCCTTTGCAGAGTCAGAACTTGACCCTTCAGAATCTGATGCAGTGGCACCAGACTCATCAGAATCGTCATCTTCAATTGCTTGGTACAACTGCTGCACTACTTCTTCATGTTCTTCCACTTCAACCTCCGAGTCAAACGCCAGGTATTGCTTCAAGGCCTGCCAGAAGTGCTGCACGTTTGGCTCGTGTTTTTTGCGTGCATGTTAATGAAGAATTT